GGGGGCGGAAGCGTCCCTGCCTGATAGCTGTTCTTCCCTTGGGAAGGAGAAGGTGGGGCCTGCCTGCTAAGAGTGAGCTTGGGGGACTCTGGGGACAGAGGAGGGGCAGGAGGTGGAAGAACTGCAGAGCTGGAGGCCAGTCCCTGGGGCCTTTGCTCAGGCCCAGGCAGGAGAGAAGAGAACCACATTTGGATGATTCTAGATCAGTGCAGCCCGCAGACGAGGGCAAGCGAGGCCTCTATCTGGGTTCAGGGATCCACAGACTTTTCCAAGCCCCCCCACAAGTGCCCGGAACTGGCCCAGACTGGCAGTGCCCCTGGGAGCACACAAGCCTGGTCCCCATTTCTCCCCCTCAAGTGCCTTCCCACCTTCTGCTGCACAAGAGGGGTTGACCAGATGGCCCAAGGAGGCCTGGGACTCATACCTGTGGGGCCATTCTGGGGCCCCTGGCTGGGTGTGGCTCCCAAGGGTGGCCTGGGGAGAAGGCCATTCCTTCTGACCAGTGGGTTTTTTGTTTTGTTTTGTTTTGTTTTGTTTTATGGGACACACAAAACTGAGCTGCTGGAATAGTACTGTCACACTGATTGTGGGAACTCATGATGGGCACAAGAAGAGTGCTGGGCTTGGGTCTGGTGCCAGTCCTTGACCTTGAGCCCTGGAGGGGCCCAGCAGTCACTCTCACCAGCAGGGTTCCCACCACAATGCTGCCTGTGGCCTACCACACCGAGGACAGCAGGGGGCGGTAGGTGTCCCTTCCTGTGCACCTCACCTCCATCAACAGCATCCTGCCAGTCATGCCACCCCCTACGGAGGCTGCCAGCCTGGTACCAGGCATCTGTGTCCTCCCACGACTTTCACAACCACTGCTCTACACCCAACATCCCACCCACCTCCCACCCATGTGGTGACCTTACCTCACGCTCTCCGGGTTGGTCTTAAGTCGCACCAGACGCCACATGGACACTCTTGGAGGAGGAGTCTGCTCTTCCAGCTTGTCCACAGCCCTCGCCTCTCCGCTCCACTGGTGGTGGCGTGTGGAAGGCAGGTGGGAGGCCATCCCGGAAAGAAATCATAATGAAGAGATGCAAGGCTCGTGGCCTCGGGAGTTCAAGAGAGGACGCTGGGCAAGCAGTTTGTTCTAGGTCCTACTCTATCAGATTCCCAACCGACAGTCCAACGATTCACGTCACCAAGAGGGAAACTCAGACACACACAGCGCACTCTGGGAGAACACCGGGTGGAGGCAGAGATGGGAGTGATGCATACACACTGAGGAAGGCCAGGGATCGCTGGCAGCCACCAGCAGCCCGGAGAGGCCAGAAAGAATTCTCCCCAAAGCCTTTGGAGACCTCCTAGCCCTGCCAACACCTTGATTTTAGACGTCAGGCATCTAGAACTGGGGGAGGGAAAATGTCTAGTTTTAACCCATCCAGGTGTGATCCTCGGCCACGGCAGCCCTCGGACAGAGGGAAATCTCACAGGAGTCAAAAGGCAGGGACGGTGGGACTAGAGGTGAGAGAGAAGGCAGCGGGAGCTAGGGCCTGGGGCTGGGGTATTTAAAAATTGAACAGTCTCTAGAGATGGTCGATGAAGGAACAAACGAGCCAGGATTGGGACTGGAGCAAGGTGGCGGTCAGCGGGTAAGACAGGCTAGGGGTGAGGTGCAGTTGACAGCGCCTCTGGGAGGTGGGCCTGAGGCAGTGAGAGGCCGCCTCCCTCCCAGTGCTGCGGGGAGTCAGGACGCTCAGGCAGAGCTGGCTTTGGGAAGCCGTTGGCCAGCAGAGGCCTAAGCAGAGGGCTCCTCAGGAAGGACTCACTGAAGCTTCTAGGATTTTACTTAAAAAATTAATGTTGATTGTATTTTTTTATAATTAATATAGTTTGTAGAGCTGTTTCAAGTTTACAGAAAAATTGCATAGAAAGTAAAGACTTCACACGGACATACACGCATGCACATGCATGCATACACTGCACACGCACACACCATATAGGTGTGCACACACACACCACACATGTGCATGCATCCACACACACCGCACATGTGCATGTATGCACATGCACTGCACACACTCACCCATGCTCACACACACACCACATACCCAGGCACACACACATACCACACACACACACAAACACTGCGCACAAAGCACACATGCACACTGCAGATGCATGCACACACATACACACCACCCACATGCACAAACACACACAAATATACCACACGCACATGCAGGCACCCACATGCATGCACACGTGCACACACGTGCATGTGCACACACACACCAGGCACGTACGGCAGGCACTGCTTCCCCTATGCTAACCTGGTGCTTCCTGTGGTACATTTGTTGCAAATGATGAGCCAGCATTGATACTTTATAATTTACCAGCATTCCTAGTTTATGGTTTCCAGAATCTGCATTGACTTAGTTTATTCCCTGGGTGTAGGGTTCCATGGGTTTGACGAATGCGTGATGCCATGTTTCTGTCGTTGCAGCATCAGGCAGAAGAGTCCCTGCCCTGAAAATGCCCTAAGCCCACGGTTCACCACCACCATCACCCCAGCCCCCGTGGTTCACCCCACCACCACCTCCGGCCACCACTGACTCTTTACTGTCTCCATGGCTTTGCCTTTCCCGGGATGTCATACTGTCGGAATCACACAGGATGTAGCTTTTCACATAACTTCTTCCACTTCAGGATTTGCTGAAGGTTTTAGGTACCTCATCCCAGGGTTCAGTGGGAAGAGGGAGGGAGCTGGGAGCAGCTTGGGGTGGAACTTGGCTTCGAGGAGGCGGGGCTGAGAAGAGTCACTGGGGCTGAGTTGCCAGACGTCCTGCATCTGGAGCCCAGCGAGGCCTGAATTGGTGATGTCAGGCTTGGCCTTGGGGCCAGAACCAGGAAGCATTGCCTGGGTCGAGCCAGCCCTGTGCTGCAGGGGAAGCCCAGAACCTTGGCCCACTTTGACCCCTGGGCCGCCCTTCAGGAAGGAGGCTTCGATCTGGGCACGATGTCCGAGCCTCGGATCTGAGCTAATTGCTTCCCTCCATCTGGACCACCCACAGACACCCCCACCCTGACACCCCTTGCTGGGGAGGGGAGGGAGGGCCAGGCCAGGGTTGACCCCCTCCCTCCGCCCTGAGCAACAGGGCCCTGCTCTCCCTGCACTTTGTTTTGCTCATGTCTCTGAGACCCCAGCACGTGAACTCACCTACATGGTACTGTGAAGGCCAGGAGGGCGGGGGCTCCCTCCAGACCCCACCAGACCAGCTCACACCCTCACACATGGACTTGGGACCCCACCAGACCAGCTCATACCCTCACACATGGACTTGGGACCCCACCAGACCAGCTCATACCCTCACACATGGACTCCTTCAGGCACCACTTTCCCCACATTACAGAAGAGCAAACTGAGGCAGAGAGATGAGAAACTTGCCCAGGTCCTCAGCTGGGATATGGGGGAGATGGATTTGAGGAGACCCGTCTGACAGGGGCCCTAGAGGGGCTCTGATGCCACGTCCTGAGGGGATTGGGGGCTGCTATTTGTGCTGTAGATTCGCACTTATCCCTTCACCCTGGACAGGTCCAGGATGAAGACTGAGGACACCAGGGCTGGAGTCTAAGGGCTCATTTTAGAACCCTTGGAAATTGCTGATGCAGATGGTGTTCCTACAAGGCAGCCTCTCTGGAGCTGTGCCCAGCAGAAGAGGCCCAGTCTGACTGGTCAGCCCCAGAGCCATGCCCAGAGGGGAAGGCTTGGTCCTACTGGTCAACCCTGAGGCTGTGCCCAGAAGAGGAGGACTGGTCCCACTGGTCAACCCCATAGCAATCCCCAATGGAGGAGGCCCAGTCTGATTGGTCAACCCTGAAACCATGCCCAGCAGGGGAGGCCCAGTCCAACTGGTCAACTCTGAAGCCATGCCCAGAGCTGACCCAGTCCAACTGGTCAATCCCGTAGCCATGCCCAACAGAGGAGGCTGGGTGTGACTGGTCAACCCCAATTCTGCTGAGTCAGGGGTGAATGCAACCTTTGGCCAGGTGGCCGGCTTGCCCTGTAGGGACATGTGGGCTTCCTCTTGGAGCTTTGTTCCCGAGTGTCCTGGTGAGGTCAGAGGTGAAAACAAGCCTGCATTTGTGCCCTGAACAACCACCTCTATGGCCGCCAGGGCTCCCCCGTCTATACACTAAGATGACTTGAGGGGCAAGGGTTGGGAAGGCACTACCCATGGAGAGCAGTTGACCTGTTGTGTTCCTCTGTACCTCCTAGCCTCTCAGTGAATGGACCAGTGTCCTAAAGCCATGACCTGGGCTCTCTGATGCCACAGGTGATGGTGGCCTAGATTGTCCAGGCACCTAGGGCAGTATGGTGTCTGGATGTTTGAGTGTCCAGTGTGGGGGCACAGGTTCAACTATATCCCTTGATGTTGCTCTGTTCTGGGGGTGCGATAGCCCCAGTTGAAAGCCTCTGTCCGGTAAGCCCTGTTCCTCGGGCATGTTGGACACAGGGTAGAGAAATGAGACAAGTTGATCAGGGCACAGCCATCGCCGGGGGCACCACACAAGGCTTTGGCCCATCCAAGCCTGCTGGCCACACATCTTCAGAAGCTACTCCTGAACCCTGAACTCCAAGAGAGCTGATAATTCTACCAGGCAGGACTTTCACTGAAGGCTGAGACCCGTTGACAGGAAAGAGAAAGGGCAGGACGGGAGAGGGAGGGAAGGATGCGGTGCAGTTGTCAGGGAGGGAAGGTGGTGGACAGGGCCTCTGCTCTCCGCCTCCCCCCCCCTTGGTTTCTGCAATGAGGAAGTTCTCTGAAGCTCAGTTTCCTTTCCCTCACTGGGCTCTGAAACAGGAAGTCAGCCAGTGAGCTGGTGGCAGCCGCCGAGGCAACAGAGAGGGGACAGACGGCAGGTCAGAGCACAGGGGCCCTAAGCTGCCCCTCGGTGGCGTGTGGGTCCTGGGGGTGGCTGCTGGCCCACCAAGCAGGCCCCCGCCCACCATGGTTCCCTGCTGGAACCATGGCAACATCACGCGCTCCAAGGCAGAGGAACTGCTCTCCAGGACGGGCAAGGACGGGAGCTTCCTTGTGCGTGCCAGTGAGTCCATCTCCCGGGCCTATGCCCTCTGCGTGCTGTAAGTACACGTCGTCCCATCCATGCAGACGCAGCCCGTTGTGGAGGGGGAGGCCCAGCTTCAGGCTTGGCAAGGGGCCTGGCACTGGGCAGCTTGTTTTCCTGTCACTGGATGGAGTGACACAGGCCCTAAGTTTGTGGCGGGTCCAGCCGGGGCCCCGCTCTGGCCTGCTGGGCTGTGGACTTGAGGCTTGAGGGAGCCCGGTCAGGGCAGGTTTGCCCCACAGCCACCATGGGAACTGGTCCCATAGCCCAGATGACCCTGAGCTGTGGTGCTGGGGGTATCCTGGGCCTGCCAGGGGCCAGGATGAGGGGCAGAAGCTCAGGGCGCAGTGGGGTGGGAGTGTTCAGAAGTAGTCAGCTGGCTCTGCCCAGTGCTGGTCAAAGATGCCCAGACCTGGTGCTGGACAAGTGTGGCCTCAGGGGTGCTTCCTGGGCCCAGGCTTCGGGCCCTGGGGAAGCTGTTGTTGGGAAGCCACGGATGTGAGGTGGGTACATTGAGGAAGGACTGGTCTTTGGCTGAGAGCAGAGGAAGTCCTGTCTCTGAGTTCAAGCAGGTCTCCTCACGCCATTTATCCTCGTTCCTCTCAGCGTTCTTTGGCCTCCCTCTCGCCATCAGGCCAGCTCCCCTCTCCATTGCTCCGGAATGTTCCTGAATTCACTGGCTGTGTTAACCACCAAGGCACTAGCCCCTTTCTGCAAGTTCCTTTTTGAAACACCCCTCTTGTCTGGTTTCAAGGTGAGGCTGTCGTCTCTGCAGCCCTGTGGTCTGAGGGCCCCCACTCAGCCACTGGGGAGAGTGTGTCCACCTGACCCTCTCAGAGCATGGCTGGGCTTGCAGAGAAGTGCTGGGCGCAGGCCAGAGAGAAGCTGATCTCTGTACACAGGCTTGTTTGAGGCACTTACCATGCCCGGACCTGCTATGCTAAGTGTTTGCCCACCAGTTATTTAACCCTCAGAGCCCCCTGTGGTGCAGGGCCTAGGGTTACCCCCACTGTGCAGGTGGGGCAGCTGAGGCTCAGACGGTTCAGTGGCTTGAGACAGTCAAAGCCAAGGCCACCTGCCTCCAGAGGCTGCAGTGGAAACCACCAGACTGTCCCACCCACCACCCAGTTGTGGCCTCAGTCAAGCTGCATGTGTCTGTGGGTTTAGGGTGGACACAAGGGAAGCTGGAGTTTTTACAAGGGTCACTTGGGAGTATATAGAAAACGACCCAGCCTTGCAGCTGTCGGAATCATCCTGTGTCCTGACTCACTCAAGAGCGCCACCTCCAAAGGCCAGCTTCCTGCACCCCCACTGTCACGCCCAGGGAAGGGATGCAGGCCATTCGGACTTCCCCAGCAGGCACTGCCTCCTTGGGGCACCTTAACGGGCATTAAAAAGGGTGGAGAGGACTTCTTCAGCATCTCACGCACTGAGTCTAAACCCACCAGGGCCACGGGGATCTCTCTGCTGCCTGGTGCAATGGGCCTCTCCATCTTGTGGGTCGTCACAGTGACCCTCTGACGTGGTGCCCCAGGTGCACTCAGACTTCACAGGTGGCACTTGGGCTTCTCTGACTGCAAACTGCGAGTATCTTAGCATCTAGGATCGTGGTGAGCCAGAGCCAGAGCTGGGAGGGGCCTTCATCCAAACCAGCTTGTGGCCGCCCCAGGGGGGTGGGAGCAGAGCTGGGCTCCACGGTGTTTCCAGAAGCAGGTAACCAGGCCTCTCCTCCGAGAGACTGCCAGAAGAACTGGAGCTTGTAACCTTTCGGTTCGTAGTTTAGCTCGTTAACAGTTAGTGCCACCAGAGACTCCTGGGAGAGACCCTGGAGGAACCTTTAGTCTCCTTCTCACTCCGTCCACGAGGAGAGCTCAGAGAGGTTGAGGCATTTGTCATGGCTGCCATGCTGGCTGAGTGCCACACTGGGACCTGGGCCTGGTCCTCTGCACAGAGTTAGGCTCGGAGCCACCGAGGAGTGTAGTGTCTGTACCCTAGGGAGCGTGTCCAAGCCTTAACTTCTCAACCTGCTACCCACAAGACCCCTTTAGGTCCAAGCCCCAGGGCTCACAGCTCTTCACCAGGGAGGCTCAGGCCCTTGGCCAGGCCCTCGCCCGCCTCTGCAGGTGAAGCCCCTCTCCCTGCTGGACCGGCTGGCACCATGTTGCTGTTTGTTGCCACGGAGTCAGCTCCGACTCATGGGCACCTCACATACCACAGAACAAAATGCGGTTCAGGCCCATGCCATCTTCATGGTCACTGGGCTATTCCAGCCCACCATGGCTTGTGGGATATCATGGACCAAACGTTCCAAAACCTGCGGTCCCAAGAGGGCTGCCATCCCATCGTGTTGCCAATTAACGAGATGGAAAAATGAGGAACTAGCTACATAGATGACAGTGAAGTTGCCACCTCCGGGTCATGAAAGAGAGGACCCGTCACCTCCAAAAAGGCAGAAGGACATGCTCAAAACGAACCAAAAGTTAAAGCCGGTCCTTTCAATCAGACACATTTTATTCATGAAGAACAAAGTGCCCCATCCTTGGTCTTCTCTCTTCCCTGTGGACAGGGGGAAGCCTCAACAGCCCCATCCACTCCGTGGCCTGGTGCCGTGGATTCAGGAGGCAAAGATGCCGTTCCTGCAGCTGTCTGGTGACACGGTCGCAGGGCAGGGGTGGGCAAAGAGAGCTGGGCTTTCGTCCCTTTCAGAAGGGCAAGTTGTGCCCCAGTCTCTCTGGGAGTCAGCCGAGAGAGCGTACAGGGACCAGAGGCGGTGCCGTGGTCTTCCTGGGTGGTGAAGCTGTGGGCATTGGGGCCTCTTAAAACCCTGCTTTCAAAGGGCCCCAGGGTTGCAGGAGGAAGCTGCAAGGCCTTACTCTTCTGCTCTAGAAATAGCCATGAGAACAGGACCACACGGCCCCAGGGTGCTCAGACCTCATCCCGTCTGGGCTGAGCGGCCCAAGCTTCCTCCTTGGGAGCAAGTAGACACTGGCTGAGGCCTCAACTTGAGCTCCACCAGTTGCTGTGGAGTCGAGCCTGACTCCTGGCCATGCCATGTGTGTCCCAGTAGGACACTGTGCTCCACAGGGTATCCAATGGGTGATTTTTCAGAAGTAGGTGATTTGGTTATTGGAATTGACTCGACAGCAGAGTTTTGGTGTTTTTTTTTTCATTATTAGGTGGAGTAATGGGACTTGCCTGCTAACCAGACGGCTGGCGGTTCAAATCCACCAGCCACTCCTCAGAAGGAAGGTTGGGCAATCCTACTTCTGTAGTGACACTGCCTCGGAAACCCAAGGAGGGGTTGCTATGAGTCAGGTTTGACTCGACGGCACATAACAACAACAACAACAATGGGAGCTCTGGTAATGTAGTACCTAAGGCACTTGACTGCTAACCAGAAAGCTGGCGGTTCAAACCCACCAGCCACTCCCCGGAAGGAGGTTATTGGTTATTGATTTCAGAAGTAGGGTATCCGATAGGTGATTTTTCAGGCCTTTCTTATGAGGTGCCTCTGAATGGACTCAAACCCCCACCCTTTGGTTAGCAGCCGAGTGTGCTCACCGTTTTGCGCCGGACGGGTGTATGCAAAGCCCCAGGAGCTAAGAGCAGCTGTGCAGGGACGGGCCTGGTGGTCAGGTGGGAGGACAGATTTGACTATTTCAATGGCAGTGGGTGGCTGGGGTGAGGGGACACCAAAGGACAAGACTGCAATTCAGGACTCATCCACGTGACTTAGGCCCGCCAACCCCTCCATTTCCTCAATCTCCCCCCAGAAAAGCCCTGCGGCACGGAAAGCCCACAGCTCCTTCTAGAGCCCAGGGAGAGGAAGTGGGAGCCCGAGGCTGGTGACCACGGGGGTTTGGGCCCAGCTCTGTCTTCCAGGACAGGGCCTGTGAGCACTAGGGCTGCGGGCCCCTCCTGGGCAGGGCCTGTGTCACACTCATCTGGTCCCCAGACCCTGCAGAGTCTGCCCTGCTCAGGGAGCCTGGAGGGTCACCACGAGGGTCGCCGGGGCTCTTCTTGGATGGGAGGACATTAGGAAGCCCTCTGGCCTGTGTCCTCCTGTCCTGCCAGGACCTCACTTCCATGCAAGAGCCGTCACACCTATGCAAGGACCCGTGGGTCAGCAAAGGCCAGGCCCCTGCCCCAGACAGAGCTGGACCAAAAGCCCAGCATCGTTGGAGATATGGCCTGCCATGTCATCAAACCGTCCCTCCCCCAGACCACAGTGTGGCTGCTTTTGCCCCAGAAACCAGTCCGTGCCCAGTCAGCTGTGTGGGGAAGCAGTTTTGGTGTCTCTGAGCACGAGGCCTTCCGCAGGCTGCCCCAGCCACATCTAAGAGTTTGGGGCAAGTGCCTTCCCAGGGGATGGTGTGCTGCCTTGCCACACAGCCAGAAAGATGAGAAAGCACACAAAAAAGGACATTCATCCACCAAAATTTCCCTCAGAGAAGCCACTCTGTTTGTTTCGGAGAAATCGTGTGACAAGCCGCTTGAGGCGGAGCAGACAGGCCCGCAGACTTGCTCTGCAAACACACGGTGACTGCTCAATCACTCTGTCTGTTGTTGTTGTTGTTGTTATGTGCTGTCGAGTTGGACCTGACTCATAGTGACCCCTCCTTGGGTATCAACACGGAAGTAGAGTGCCCAACCTTCCTTCCGAGGAGTGGCTGTTGGGTTTGAACCGCCAGCTTTCTGGTTAGCAGTCAAATGCCTTAGGTACTACACTACCAGAGCTCCCATTACTCTGTCTAA